TTGTTATCTCGGAAAGGGAGGAAGAAGAGGACAGGGCTGAGGAGCAGGAGGGCAGGGCTGGAGCAGCAGTGGGTGAACAGAGGGGAAAAGGGAGGGATGGGCTGGGTGTGTGGGATCTGAGCAGCTCCCAAGGGCTCCCCCAGCACTGAGACCCTGCAGCACTGACAGAGCCTCACAGCAGCACCAGGTGAGGCAGAGGAGGGCTGGAGCCAGTGGTTCAGCATGGTCCTGCTGCAGGCAGAGCCCTCTGCTCATCCCCAGGGCTCCACTGATGGAACTCACACACCCCACTGCCCCTCAGAACAAAACACTGAAGATATTGGGGAGAAATAGAAAGATATGTGAGCCCACGACTTGATTTCCTCTTTGAGGGGCAGGAAATCATCAGTGAGCAGAATTCTGCCTGCCCTGGGGTTGTGGAGAGCAGGCAGCAGTGAGAGCAGGCCACAGCTCATCCCTCCCTCCCCATGAGCAGCATCCCTGTCACCTGGGCCAGGGGAGGACAGCTGGGCCCTGGCTCCTGCCAGGAATTCACTTTTCCCTTTTTGAATAGAGATTAATTCAGCGCTCTGGGAAGGGCTGAATAGAGGGGTGGGCTCCAGGTGGCTCCTGCTGTGCCCCCCAGCCCCCTCTCCCTGCAGAGCCTCCTACCCTCGGCTCAGGTGCTCAGAGCAGCTGCTTTATCCCTGGCTAATGACATTTATTTTCTCCTCAGTGCCTCGGGGAGGGCTCTTTCTCTCGCCCTCCCTGCTGATGTGGATCCTGCTGCCCTATTATGCTGATCTGAGACCTTTTTTTTGCTGTTGAAGTGCTGGTGAGCTCCCCTGCATCCCCCATCTGGGCCCCCCAGCCTGCTCTTCCTTCATTTCCCACCCTCACAATTTTCAGCTTGGATCAGGTCCCTCACCTGGCTGGGGCAAGGTGAGCCTCACTTTTGGGTTTTTGGGAAGTTCCCTCTAAAGCATCCCTCAGAAAAGGCAATTACCACAGTGCCATTAGAGCTCTCCCCACTGCACAGGCAGATAAGTCGCTGGGAGCTTTTTGAAATAACCTTTAAACAATAGATCCTGTCTTGTTTACTGAATGTTCCTGAACTCAACAGTAATGCATCCAGATGTCACCCCTGCCTACCGTAGGCCTAACTATTTCTGGAAACACACCAAAGGCAAATTGCTTGGATAATGTCAGATATGGTTGCAAAAAGAATATGACAAGTTTCCATCTCCTTGATAAAAGCTGTGGAGCACAGAGTTATTTCCCAGGGCAGCAGAGCCGTGTGTACCTTGCACTCAGCCCCGTGGAGGAGCTGCATCCCTTCCTCCTCCAGCTCATGGGCAGGTGGACCATGGCATGTGTTTTCCTGCTTCCAGCTCAGGAAAATATCAGTGTTGGTGTCCAGAGAAGCTCAGCACACTCACAGCATCCGTGTCTGGGGCTGCAGGTGGCTTTTGTCCTGCTGGAGGGAGATGGGGAGAAGCACTGGATGGTGAGCAGGGGCTGAGCTGTCCTGGTGATGCCTCAGGTCATCTTGTGCCACGTTGGGAGTGGAGTTAAATGAGTTAAATGCCAGCTCTGAGCTGTTCAATGAGCAGGAGGAAACTCTGTGTGAAGTGAGAGGGTGACAGAACTCAGCAGCCCCTGCTCGTGTCCTGTCTCCACTCCTCGTCCTGCCAAGGGGAGCTCACGCTGAGGGAGGTGCTGCACCCAACATTGTCCCTGCTGAGGTTTCTCCAGAGAGAAATCTGCACTCTTGGACACACAGGATGGGTAAAATCATCACTGTGGTGGTTCTGGCCTAAATCCAGTCCTGTCCCCGTCAGTGATGCCTCTGAGAATCCCATCTCCATGGAGCCTGCTCCTCCTGCTGCTGCCCTGAACTGCTGTGAATGGGTCAGGGCTGTTATTAACCTTTCCAGGGACAGAGAGGTCCAGGGATATTTCCAAATATGATTCTGACCTTTAATTTTGTTCCCCGACCTTTCCAGCTGCCCTCTGCCCAGGGCTGCTCTGGCAGGTTCCTGAGGTCCCAGCCCTGTCTGGGTTGATGCTGGCTGTGAGTGAATGTGGCTGAAGGGTTGGAGAGGGTCAGAGTCCCTCACCCACCTATCTGTCACCCCCCTGCCCATCTGCACTGCTGGGATAAAGGCTGTTTGCTCAGGCCAAGGGGGAACCAATCCTATCAGAAGAGACCACAAGGAGAGAAGGAAATAACACACAATGACCTGGGAGAAAACGCATTTAGACAGGGAATGAGCTGCAAGCTCAACCCCAACAGCTGCCACCTCTGCTCCATCCTTCCCTGCACCTCTTCAATGTCACAAGCTGCATCCCCCGCCGTGGTGCAGGAGCCCTGCCAGCATGCAGCACCTCTTTCCTGGCCATGTCCTTCTCCATATCCATGACAACACCACAGCCAGGTACAGGAGCAGCCCGAGTGACAAGGGACCAGCCATCCCTGCTGCTTCCACCAGCTCTGCGCTGCCAGAGGGAAAAGCCTGAGTCAGGCAAATCCCTTGGAGCCTGGCCAGCTGCAAAACCCCTCCTTGCCCCACTGAGGACACATCCTGCCATCCCAGAGGTCAGTGGCACAGACTGTGCCAGGCTGTGAGCATGCAGCAAAGCTCTCTGGGCTGCACATAAATGCCTGAGGAAACTGAGCACCTTCGTCTCTCTGAATCTGGCACCCAGCAAAACTTTTACAGATCCTAAAGGGGTGCTGAGGAATGGCTGTAGGGTCAGAGTGGGAAATATTTAGAAAGGTTTGGGTCAATAAACCACGGGCAGTGAGTCTGTCCCTTACCCACTGCTGAGCTCAGAGAGAAAAGGGTTCAGGCTTGACTCTGGTGTCACCTCCACGAGGGTTTAGGGACTGCCAGAGATTCAGTGGAAAAGGGTGAGGAGATGTGACAGCCAGACCCTCTGCCAGGCTCTGCTGGAACACAGCAAGGACACAACCAGGAGCCACAGCAGTGCTGATGTTCTGCCACTCCTTGTGCCCAGGTAGGCACAGGTATTTCAGTGTTTGTCACCTGTGCCCACTGGCAATAAACCAGAAAGGAACAAATGCTGTTTCCTTCCTTCCTTCCCCTCAAATCCCCACATCCTTTCTGAACGAGAACCAGTGTACTGCGGGGTGATAAATCAACATCAGCAGCTTTGCAGGGGATTCTGTTGAAGTTCTTTATCTCTCCTGAGCACCAGCACCATTCCTTAAGAGGTCCTGTCATCACTCTGCACAGAAATCCTGACATGCAGAGGGAAGGAGGTTACACTTCTAATTACAGCTGCACAATCTTTAAGGTGTTTAAAATCTCTTTTCACCGACTGACAGCCCCTAAAGCACCTTTCTGCTTGTTTCAGGCAAGAAGAAAATCAACCACAGAGACTGCAAACAACCTCCAGGTTTTCACCAGCCATTGCAGTGGGGCAGGAGTCTCAGCACAGGTGTGGGATAGTTGAGGCACTCACTTCATGCACAATTCATGTCAACTGCTTTCCCTCACAGCGCTGTAATTTAGATGTTTCCTCAGCGAAGACAAGATGTGATGACTAAAAATCCCATCCTACTGGGTACTTTTGCTCAAATGAAGTCACCCAGGAGCACCATCTGCACTCTAAAAATTGGGATAACCCACCAGGTTCCCAAAAATGACAGCCATACATCACGACAGACTCAAGTGCAGAGTTTTCCCTTCTAGGTTTTATGCTGATTCTGCTGCTCGTTTCAGGCTGGAAGACAATCTGTTGAACCTCAAAGTGCTGTCTTCTCTTACCTTGAATTTATTCTGCCAGGGAACTGTCTACCTTAATGAGTATGAGCACACCCCCACTACCTCCCAAGTTTGGTGATCTGTTATGTCAAATATAAATAATCCTGTCTGAAAGCGGTCGATATGGGGAAATGAAAAGCCATCTTCCCTTGGGGGATCTCTCTCTCCCTCCCACAGCCCCCCTGAGCCCTCAGGCTACCTTTAATGTGCTGAGCAGCACCCATGAGGCTCTGAGAGCACAGACCTTGATGGCTGCTGGATGCAGAGTGACAAAAAACAGCCCACAGGTGACAGTGTCATCACCTTCCTCTCATCCTGCCCTGATCCCTCTCCATCACTGAGTGTGAGCTGATGGGATGATTTCCTACCCAACCCAGCTCTGGGGTGTCCTACAAACTCCTTGGGGTGGAGAGGGGGATTCTGGTGTCCTTTGGGGCCAGCCCATGAGATGGAAACAAAGTGAATCACATGGCTCCAGGTGGGATGTCCAGCCAATGAAGAGAGGCCGGTTCCAGTCCCACCCTGAGCGTGCAAAGGGGACCGAGGTGCCCCTGGGGCAGGGAAGGACACGACCTGCACACCCAGGAGAGCCACGGCATGGGGCAGCTTTCCCACTCATCCCTGAAAGGTGCTTTAATGACATCCCTCATAGGCTTTGGAGCTGTAGGGTGAGGGAAAGCCGAGCCTGGAGCACCCCAGGGTTTTCCAGGCAGGTCTGAGCTGGCGGGACCAGCCCCATTCCCAGGCTGTGGGGCAGCGGATGCCGCGCGGTTCTCCATGTCCCTCCTCACCGTCTCCCCCTCCAGATCCCTTCCCAGCCCTCTCCCGGCAGCGGGGCTATCCTGTTCCTGCTGCCCTCCCTGCAGGCATCCCCGGGCTGCGGGGCTATCCTGTGCCCTCCTTACAGGCATGCCCGGGCTGCGGGGCTATCCTGTGCCCGCTGCCCTCCCCGCAGGCATCCCCGGGATGCAGAGCTCGCTGCCGGTTCCCCGGAGCAGCCATCCATCCCAGGCAGATTCGGTTCCCCGGAGCAGCCATCCATCCATCCCAGGCAGTTTCGGATGCACCGGCAAGCGGGCGGCGGGGGCGGGAGCGAAGCAAACAGGGAAAAAACACCGCGAGAGACCCCAGCGCTGGGAGATGCGGGGAGAAGGGGCCCGGCAGAGCCCGGCAGAGCCGGGGGGGGTCCCGCGGAGCCCCCGCGCCGGTGCCTTCTCCCGCTCCGCTTACCTTCACACGGGGGAATGAATGGGGCCGGCTCGCTCAGGTGAGGACCGCGTCTCCCGAAGTCTCCGGCTCGGAGAGCATCAATACCAAAATAAACGTTTCTAAAAAAAAAAAAACCATTAAAAAATAATCTTAAAAATGAAATAACGATTAAAAAATAATATATTAAAAATAAGCGGCAGGAAGGAGGCTGAGGAGGAGGCGGGCGGCAGCGGAGCAGGCAGCCGGCAGCAGCCACCCCTGTCGGCACATGGCCGGGCCGGCGGCTCTGCGGGGGCCGCTCCCGCCTCCCCGCCCCGCTCCCAGCGCCGCGGGGCCGCCAATGACGGCCCGGGAGCGGGGCCGAACCGAGCGGCGCCCGCCGAGCCCCGCAGCGGCCCCGCACGGGCAGCGCCGCGCCCGCCGCCCCCCGCCCCGGGCTGCGGGGATGCTCCCCATTCCCATCCCGGAATGCGGGGATGCTCCCCATTCCCATCCCGGAATGCGGGAATGCTCCCCATTCCCATCCCAGGATGCTCCCCATTCCCAGCCCGGGGTGCGGGGATGCTCCCCATTCCCATCCCAGGATGCTCCCCATACCCGGCCCGGGCTGCGGGGATGTTCCCCATTCCCATCTCAGGATGCGGGGATGCTCCTCATTCCCATTCTGGGATGCGGGGCTGCTCCCTATTCCCATCCCGGGTGCGGGGATGCTCCCCATTCCCATTCCGAGGTGCGAGGATGTTCCCCATTCCCAGCCCAGGATGCGGAGCCGTTCTCCCCTCCCATCCCGCGATGTGGCCGCAGAGTCCCAGTCCCGGCATTCAGGGATGAGCTGGGTATGAAGGAAGGGCAGAGCAGCGCTGGGAGATGGGAGACTCACCCCAGAGCTGGGTTAGCCCCAAAGAGACCGGGGTCATCCTGCTATGGACTCGAACCACCCCCCTACAGAGCCGGGTCACCCCCTCTATAGCCCAACCATCCCCCAGCAGAGTGGGGTCACCCCCTTTATACCCAGATCACCCCCCAACAGAGTGGGGTCACCCTGTCTGTACCCAGATCACCCCCTTACAGAGCTGTGTCACCCACCATGGAGCCAGGGGATGCTGGTTTGGACCAGAGAGCTTCACCCCCAGTGCTGGCACAGGAAAAGAATCCCCCTCCCCATCCCCAGGGCACAGACAAAGCCAAGAATCCCCCTCCCCATCCCCAGGGCACAGACAAAGCCAAGGCAAACCCCACAGCACCTCCTGTTTGATCCCACATGATGCCCAGGGCATTTTACAGGTGGTGTGAGTTTGTTCCCTGCTCTGTTTTTCAGCGCTGTGCTGGGGTTTCATGAACAGAACAGAGAATGTTTCTCCTCTTCCCCAATCCATGCCCATTCCAGCACAACCTCAGCTTAGAGCCCTCATCCACATCTTTTCCCCACAGTGGTGATTTTCAGCAGCGGTGATTCACAAGGTTTCCTTTAAGCTGGGGTAGTGATGACTCTTCAGAGCCGGAAAAAGCAAAATTTAGGACAAAACCTGAATCCTAGAGGTGCATTACCCCTCTAGCAGGTGGGCAACCTGCAGAAGCAGCACCACAGGAGGCGTGGAGGTTGTCCCCCAGCCCCAAGCTGGTGTGACAGGGGAGCACAGACTGCCCCAGCTCTCCCTGAGCTCTGCAGTCCCTGGTCCCTGAGCTCCCTGCAGGGCTCCCCTGGGCACAGGGGATGCTCAGTGTGTCTCAGGAGGCTCTGCCACCATCCCTAGCTCTTGCCACCCAAGCTGTCAAACTCCTGGTGCAGCAGGGACCCTTCTGCAGGCCTCTGGATGGCCTCTGTCCATTGGGATGTGTGACTTTTGTCCTGCAGCATTCTTTTCCCTGGCAGTGAAACTCATTCCCAAGAACTAACTCAATTTTTCTCATCAGCAGTTCCAGCCCATCGATACTTTTCTGTCCCTCTCAGCTGATGAGAATAATCAGTGGTTTTATAGCACATCTGCTCTTCTTGAGATGGTATCGCTCGTAGCACTCCTTTAATCTATACAGAGGGAAACAGTTGTATTTAATTAATTGCTCCCCAAGTAAACTGATCACCTCCAGCAATTCCAGCACACTTTACACGCAGTTCAAAAGCCTGTGCAGAGATCTGAAAGGAAAAGCCTCCACTGTGATGACAAGAAATAAAGGTGAGGGAAAAAAACCACAATTTGTCTACTTAAGACAAATATTATTTAATTATTCTATCAAATCACTTATACTGAACTGTGTTGTGGTTGCTGTTGAGTTTTTCTTCAAGGTTGCTTAAACCACGTGCAGATGATGTTGAAGGGCTGTGCTCTAAAAAAAAAAAAACCCAACCAATTTTAGCTTTTTATTACTTGTGCAGGTCAAACGTCACCGTCTGGCAATTTGTCACTGCATCCTTGCTCAGAAATATGAACTATGGAGCTTCTCTGCTTGGCCCATTCATTTTGGTTTCAATGCCTGGCCTCAGGTTCTGCAGTAAACATCCTCCTTGCTGCCCAGGGAGATGTCAAAGCAATTCTCACGGAGCTGAGCCCAGGATAAGAAGCAAGGAAAAGCAATGTTATAACAAGGACTTAGCAAATGCTTGGGCTGCCTTGAGAGAGCACAGAGCTTGTTTTTTGGACTTTAACATGAGGTTTGCTTACCCTAAGAGCAATTCTAGGAAATCAGAATTCTGTGAAGGAGAAAAATGTTTTTTATAATGTGTTTCTTGCACTGAGACAAGACCTCCACACTGTACAAGACCTCCATGGTGAGCACGGTCTGGGCTGTACAAACACAGATTCCCCAGACTTTGCAACAGAAATTTTTACAGAAGGGAAGTGCTAATTAGCATCCACAGTTTGGGAGCCAGTTGATAGCCTCGAGACCTGGCAGCTGGCCAGCCACAACTTTCATCAACCCCAACATTTGGGAAGTGTCCTGTGCCTGCCAAGTCTGTGGGATAAACAGACCCAGCAGCAGCCAGGAGCCAAATCATCTGTGGGTTTGGAGTGCAGTGCTCAGGTTGTGCTCACCTCCTTCCCTCCACGACCACCCCTGGGTTATTCCCAGTGTCAATCCTTCAGTGATTTTGTGCCCTCCCACTCCTGCACCCCCAAATTCTTGTTTTTCTCATTTGACTCACAACTTGGCATCAAACTACCCAGGAATATTTTATGATCTTCCCATCACTCAGCATCCAAGGCTGCTCTCTAGGGGTTTTTAATTTTGCCCTATCTCCAGCTTGCTCCATCCCCAGGGCAGGTTCCCCTTTGGTTTTCCAGATCCTGGAGGAATCTTCCACTTGAGACTGATCTGTGAGCACAACCCACAGCCAAACCTGGGCACTGCTGGGAGAAATGGGCTGCTGGAGCACTGCCCAGCTCCCTGTGTGTATTCCCAGGGGAACACACCAGCCTGGGGATGCTGGTGATGTTTTTATCCTCAAAACTCCTCTGGCAACTGCAGTTGGGTGGATATGACACACACCAAGTGTGTGGCCTTCCAGAGATGCAATAAAATACACACTCACCTGCAATACAGCAGCAAAAGGGCTCTTAATATTGCTAAAGGATCCCACTGCTCGTGCAGGGCTTTGTTCCACAGGGGAAACACAGAGTTAGGGCTTTCTAATCCAACTCTGCTTTTCTCTGCCTCTTCCCCACAATTATGGAGGTTCCTTCTCTTGGATGGTCTCCAAGCTGATCCCAAATATTCATGGCAGCAGCTTGAAAAGTCCCCACTGCCTCCTCCTCCTGTCTGCAGCACCTCAGTCACCTTCAGTGGATTTAATTGCAGAATTTTATATTGCTGAGATCAGCAGGGATTCCCAGCTCTGTGCTCTTCCACAGCCAGTTCTCTGCACCTGCTTTAGCCCCCCACAATGTCAGAACCACCTGGCTTTTAACACAGCCCCAACAACTGCCCCGAACTGGGACCTTGCTTGGTGTCCCCAACCAAACTGGAGAAGAATTCTCCCCTGCCACTGCAGAGGTGGGAGAGAACTCTTTAGGGAAATTAAGAGTGATCCTGTGAAATCAGGGATGGCTGGTAGTGGAGGAATGCAGGGTGTTTTGTGTCTGAAGAGGGAAAACCAGGGTTTGGTGTGGTTTTTAAAGGATAAAAACAGATCTTTCCTTGTGGAATTTGGGATTCTTCACCACAGGTTGGGTGATCAATCTTGGAAACGTGTCAGCTTGGATTCACAGGGAGAGAGAGGAGAGAAAACAAGTGGATGGATGGATGGCTGGATGGATGGATGGATGGATGATGGATGGATGGATGGATGGATGGATGGATGGAGGATGGATGGATGGATGGATGGATGATGGATGGATGGAGGATGGATGGATGGATGGATGGATGGATGGATGGATGGATGCTCATCCCATGGTAGAAGGCATCTGGAATGAGCTGACATGACACAGCCATGGGCTGGGAATGTCACCACAGGTGAGCATGGAGGGTGGGAAAAGGGAGGCACTGGTGGATACTGGGAGCTTGGGCTTGCACCTGCTGGGGGAAGGGACATCACCACTGGGAGGACTGGGCCAAGCTTCCCATGGCTCTCCTGCAGAGCGAGGCTGGAGCAGAGTTGATCCTGCCTGGAGCATCTTTTGCGGGGACACGTGAAACTGTGTTCCAATGCGTGGAGATGGTTATTGCAAAGCCACTTTATTTCTGGTGTTGTTATTGGCAGGGGAGTGGGAGTGCAATACAATTTTAGCCACCCTGATGTCTCTGTGTCCCTTGCATCCCACCTCCATTCTAGAGCAGCTTTTTCCTCACATTACACGATCCTTTCGACTGTACAAAAGGGACTTTTTGCACCTGAAATTGTTAAAAATTGAGCTGGTCCTGCAGAGCAGGGTCAGGAGTGGGCAGTCCTGGGAGAGTTGATGGCTGTGTGTCCCCATCACCACCAGCACCCCTGGCCCCAGCAGGAAGCAGGATTTCCTTGCATATGGCAGGAGCAGGGGATGACCAAGACCTGTGTGAGGCTCAGTGAGGATGAACTTGCTCTTGGAGAAGGATTCCAGCCCAGCCCTCAGGCATGAGCAGAGCAGGAGCAGCCCAGCCAGCAGCACCTTTTTGTTCATTTAAAACCATCCCACTGAAGATCAGGGTGAGTCTCCAGAGCTGCTGGGTCAGAGACCACCCCCTCAGATAAACTCCACATCCCAAAGCTCACTCAGACCTCTCCCACCTCCCACTGGCACTATCCCCTGGATCACACAACGCCTCATAAACACACCCAGAGAACACTTTTGTCTCTTCCTGTCCTTTTCAGATATTTTGGG